TAACGGTACCTTCCAAAATTCGGTATTTTGATGATTTTAGCGACATTATTCACCGGAATTGTTTCCAATTCGGCATTTGAAGTTCGTAGTGGATACTACAGCCTAAGACAGAAAATTATCTGTACAGGTCCACGTCTTCATATAGCCCCGATATAACGGTACCCCCGATATTCGGTATTTTGATGATTTTAGCGACATTATTTACCGGGATTGTTTCAAATATCGCATGTGAAGTTCGTAATGGATACTTCAGCCCATTCCAAAAAATTGTATGTGTAGATCCACGCCTTCGTATGGCCCCCATATAACGGTACCCACTATATTCGGTATTTTGATGATTTTAGCTACATTATAAACAGATTTTTCTTCAAGTTTCGCATTTAAATATTGAAATAACTTATGACAAAAGTTGCCTATGCAGGTCTACGTCGTCGTATAGGTATTCTGTATTTTTAAGATTTTAACTGAATTTTAAACGGATTTTTTTTTTTTTTTGGAAATTGCCAAATTTGTACCAAATGGTGGAGGGTATTAAAAGTTCGGCCCGGCCGAACTTACAGCTGTTTTACTTGTTTTAAATGAAACTAACAGCTTTGCAATATTCGCTGATCGTTACCAATATCATGATTTTATTCCGCCGAAGGGGATGGTCACTTGGCTCCTTCGATTTTCAACAACCGATTTTGTTCCAAGAAACCCACTATTATTTTTTAGAGGTTTATTTCAACATTTTTCATTGATGGGAAAATAGACTTTTTCATTGAAGACCTCTGGGAATGGACAATATTATATAATATAAAACAATATTTTCCTGCTAAGAATTTTCTCACTCCCAAATGAGCAATATTTTTCCCTCTGGTGTTAATTAATTCTTGATTTTGTTAAATTTTGATTTTGTTTTAAATATTTCTATATCTCTCCTATATCTCTTATTTTCGGCCGACTTTCTTTCCCATATCTACTCTATCCATTGCTAAAGTCTTCTAGAACATTTCCACCCTGAATCACTATAGAAGTGTGTGTATGAAGAAACATAATGAGTCTCTAATTTCTCGACATTATCACCAATATTGAATTTCCCCCCTGGGGCAGCGTTTCTTGTTTCTTTTATTTTCTATGGGTATTTTTGGAAAATTAATAGTTTTTCACATTTTTCTTTGCCACCAATTGTATGACGTTATTTTCTTGTATTTTTTTTTTTTTGTTCGCTGATTCATACCTTCGATGTCGATGTCTGTACATATTAGGAAGTAATATTTTCCCCCAAAACTTTCTCTAAAAATTTTCTTTCTTTCATTCTTTTTGCTCGTTGTTGTTTCTTATAAACAATTGTTTGTTGCTGTTTTTTTCCTTTTGGAAAATTTCAAAATTTTAAATCCCATTGAATAAAATGAAATGTTTACTAAAAGCCCAATGCGAATGAATGATACGTAAACAATCCGTGAAGGGTGTGGGAGCGGTGGGGGAAAAGTCTGGTAGAATCAAAAGAAAAATTCAAGATCGACGTATGTACCTACATATTTATATGATGTTTTTCTCTCTCACTCTCTCTCTGTTATGGGGAGAATTTGAAATATTCGATTATTAACTTTGTAAAAATTATGAGAAATTTTCTCAGCGAAAAATTGCAAAGGAAAATTTTTCGAATTTCGAATAAGTTTTTTGGGGTGTTCGTTTATTTGAAGTTCTCTGGCAAAAAAATGACATAGTTTGTGAGAATCTTGCTCTCACAACTGTTTGACCGTCATAGAGAGTAGGAGAAAGCTTTCCTTGTGCGTTTGTCAGAGATGGGACATGTAAAGAAATCGAAATTTACTTAGCAACCATTTTGCACACAGATCAGTCTTTTGTGGGCAGGCAGGTCAAGTTCGAACGGTGCCCCTCGATATTCGGTATTTTGATGATTTTAGCCACATTTTTCAATGGAATTGTCTGAAATTCTATACAAGGAGTTCTTCGTGACTTCTGACGTGACGTCCACGACTTCGTATAGCCCCTATACAACGGTACCTCCCTTTATTCGGTATTTTGATGATATTAGAAACACTATTCACCGGAATCGTTTCGAATTTCGTATTTCGGAATCGGTACTACAGCCTACACTACGTCTTCGTATAGTCCACATACAAAGGCTTTTATTTGAAATTTTTTAGTAGGGTATAAAAAGTTCGGTCCGGTCGAACTTAGCTTCTTTTTTACCTGTTAAATATATTTTTTTATTTAAATTTAAAATTGTTGAAGATCCTTATGGTATAATTAGAACGAATTGTTTAGTGATTTTTATAAGATCCTGGGAGGGTGATTGCTTGGATTTTCTACGATTTTTTTTAGAGGAACCTTGGAGGTTAATCAGCATGACTTTTTTTAAATTATTTTTTAGAGACATTTTCAGGATAATTATTATAGATTTTTTATTGGTTTTACCCTGTTAGGGTAAATCGACACATTTCATACGATTTTTTGGAGGAGCTTTGAAAGACATTTTAGACTATTTTTAAAGGGTTCTTTAAGGGCACCCTGTTATGGTAATTCGACAGAATTTTGTTAATTTTTTTTGTTTTTTTTTTTTTTAGAAGCAGCTTTGGAAGGAATTTTTGTGTTTTTTTATGGGCCGCTTTAAGGACATCCTTTCATTGTAACTCGACAGAATTTTATAAAATTTTTTGGAGGAGTTTTGGATGAAATTTTGGAAGTTTTTAAATGGTTCTTTAAGGATACCCTGTTATGATAATTCGACAGAATTTTATATGATTTTTTGGGAAGGGCTTTGGAAGGAATTTTCGAGGGTTTTTATGGACATCCTGTTATGGTAATTGGACAAAATTTTATACGATTTTTTGGAGGAACTTTGGAATGAATTTTTGAGGTTTTTAAGAGGTCCTTTAAGGACATATTTTTATGGTAATCCGACAGAATTTTGTACGATTTTTTGCAGAAGCTTTGGAAGGAATTTTTGAGGGTATCCAAGGGATTCTTTAAGGACATCCTGTTATGGTAATCGACAGAATTTTATAGGATTTTTTGGGGGAGCTTTGAAAGGAATTTTTGAGCGGTTTTAAGGGGTTCTTTTAGGACACCCTGTTATTGTAATTTGACAACATTTTATACGATTTTTTGGAGGTGTTTAGGAAGGATTTTTTGCGATTTTTAAGAGGTTCTTTAAGAAAACCCTTTTATGGTAATTCTACAGAATTTCATACGATTTTTTGGAGGAGCTTTGGAAGGAATTTTTGAGGTTTTTAAGGAGTCATTCAAGGACACCTTGTTATGGCAATTCGACAGAATTTTATATGATGTTTTAAAGGAGCTTTGGAAGGAATTTCTGAGGGGTTTTAATTACCATTTTTGGGAATTCGACAGAATTTTGTATGGTTTTTTGGACTAGCTTTGGAAGGCATTTTTTGGGTTTTAAGGGGTCTTTTAAGGACACCCTGTTATGGTAATTCGACAGAATTTTATACCATTTTTTGGGGGAGCTTTGAAAAGAATTTTTACGAATTTTAAGGGCGTCTTTAAGGACTATAATTATGAACTTTGTAATTATTTTTGGAGGACACTTTTTGAAATATCTCTTAAATTTTTTAATACCCTTAAAAGACAATTAGCACGAATTGTTAAATGGCTTTTTAGAGTAGCCTTAGAGGGTAATTAGAGTTGATTTTCTACAAATTTTGGAGGAGTTTTAAATGAAAATCAGGACAATAAATAGGGATTTTCTAAATATGTTTGGAGAACTCGAAGAAAATTACTACTAAATTTTTATTTTTTTCGTTTTTAACGATAATTATCGTCGATTTTTATTGGCTCCTTGGGAGAATCTTAGAAAAAAATTAGGTTGGATTTTTTATTTTTCAAGGACGATGAATCGGATTTTTTTAATGGATTAGATGTCCTTGTGTCTGGGTCTGCTTAATATTGTGGACAATTACAACCAACTTTTTACTTATTTTTTGGAGGATCCCTTTTCAGGATAGTTATCGATTTTTAATAATTTCTTGAGAGGATAGTGATTGCATTTTAATAATTACTTGAGAGGACCTAAAAGGAAAATTAGCTTTTTTTAACTTTCGAAGATAATAAAACAGATTTTTTAAATTTTTTTTCGAGAAGTTCTGTTTAGGAGTTTTAAGGGACAATCAGCACGATTTTTGATTAATTTTTACATGACCCCTATTTTTTAGAGGATACTTCTGAGGAAAATTTACGCCATACCCCTGAATGGTTATAGGTGTGGACTTTTTATGACTTTTTGAGCGTCCTTAGAGGATATTTAGCACGATTTATTAATGACATTTTGGAGGACTCTTTAATGGCATTTAAGTTATTTTTTTACGATTTTAGAGTAATAATGCGAGGATTTTTAAAACTTGGAGATTCGTTTTTGCGGGATATAAATGTTTTTTGTAGGACCTAGCTTATTGCTTTTCAGAGGACCCTTTGAGGAGAATTAGATGATATTTACTGGCAAATTAGTCTGGATTTGTTTATGGTTTCCATGGAATGTCTTAGGGGCTAAATATCCCTGATTTTAGGTATTTTTAAGGATCAGAAAATCGAGAGGCGTTATATATAAGGATTTTTCGGAAACCCCATGACGATTTGAGGTTAATTAGTCAGAGTTTTAATATATTTCTCAAGGAAACCAGGAGGTCAAATAGTCTGGATTTTTAGATTTTATTAATGGCGTAGAATTTTTTTTTGTTGGGAGGACTGTATTTTCTCCAATATTTGTAATGATTTTTGCTATACTCCTTAGAGCCGAACTAACTCCTCTAAATATATTCAATACTCTTGTCCCCCATGTAGCGAAATATTCAAAATTTAAATAATTTTTTGATTTGTTCTGATACATTTTGTGAATGTCCCAAAAAGTCAGTACTATACTTCCCAACCCTGATGTACATATCGCATACGTCCCTCTTTCTCTTTGAATTATTTTCGAATTATGAACGTGTGTGCCCGATATCGATCGACCTAGGTTGGGTTCTTTCTTCGCTGTCTCTAACGCATAGCAGACAGTCGTTTGATCCTCAACGGTTCCGTTCGGTTTGGTGTGTGTCTGTTTGTGTGCCTGCGTTTGGTCTTGTGGGATGGGGGCTCGCAATTGGTAATCGGTATTGGTCAAAATATTTAGTTTTTTCCTCTCATTTCGTTTAAAAAACGCAAGGCGTGCGGCACGCAATTCCGTTGCACGGTTCGTCGTGTACACAGCACACAATCGATCGATCAGTTCCGTTGAGTCGAATACTCAATTCAGTTCGCGGTGTGTATGTCTGTGTGTGAATACGTTGCGCGTTATTACTTTTTGACGACCGTCCATCCTGTCATAGATATTTAGCTCAACCAACTACCAGCCAACCAGCTGTTTCGTCAGTTAGCCTGGCTGTGCAAAACGGTGAAAGAACAAAAAACGAATTGAAAATATTATTTTCGGAAAAAAAAAACTCGGGTGAAAGAAAATCGAAAAAAAGTGTAACTAAAATTAAATTTAAAAAAAATCGAAAAATAAATATTGTAAAAATAAAAAAACACAGAAAAAAAGTATGAAAATTAATTTTATGTTTTTTTTTCTAAATGAAACTAAAAATAAGTCCCTCTATTTGTTATATTATGTGGGATTTCAACAACTACAACTGCTGGCTAAAAATATAATTCGTGTGCTTAATTTTCTAACAAAATGAAAAACACCAAACGAATTTCACTCTCGAAAAAAAAATTTGAAATCCTAAAAATGTGAAGCAAAAAAAAAAAACATTAACAAAACCCCATTCAACTTTCCAGGATTTGGAATAAATCCAATAATTCTCCTCCAATTTTGTTTGTGGACGCAGCTTCCTCCGCCCGTTTGGCCTTTTGTGAATTAAAAGCAACGAACGAAAAAAAATCCCTGTTTATCTGTGACATAATTTACTTTTAAAAATTTTCGAATATTTCGAAAAACAATGAGAAAAAAGTTTAGTTCATTTCGTTTATTTTCGGTTTTCGTTGCTTATGTTTTGTGCTTTTTTGAACGTTGAGGAGACCCCTCGAAAAACAAAAAACATCAAAAAGTTTATCGAAAATTCTGTGCAAGTGTGCGTGAGTGTGAGTGTTTTCGCTGTGCTCAGTTGGTCGGATGCTGCGCTTATTACTCGCCATATCTAGTGGCCCCCGTATGGTTTGATTCAATTTTATATTGAGATTTTTTTTTTTCAAACTAGAGTACGGCGGAACACTTGGCTGGCCATTTCGTTATATTTATGCGTATGTCGGTAGTAGCGAGCGCTGTGTTCACAAATTTATGTAGAGAAAGCCAAAAGGCAAGGAAAAACAAACCAGCCGCCGCATTCATCAATGCAATAATGAATAACATGAGCATGAGCGTGTCCGAGTGTGTGTTGGTGTGTGTGTATGTCTATGATATTCATTTAATTTTCGAAAAAAAAATTAACTGAAATCGCTCACTCAGCACATATTTACGAGGACAAATTTCAAAAATGTATAATGAACATGCATTTAGTAGCTTAAAAAATAATAATAAAAATTAAAAAAAAAAAAAAAAAAAAAAAAAAAAAGGAAAAATGCTTCTAGGAAATTTTAAAATATAAAAGAAATATTTGAAACCAATATTATTACTGGGGATTGATTATTTTCTCATTTTCTTCAAAAATTTGAATGGCACGTGATTCAGTTTTTCATATCTGACAAAATTTTGGCTAAATAATGATGGGGGCATGGAGTTTATCACTACAAAAAAAAATAAAAATACATCACCGATTTCACTTGTGCCAACAGAAATTATTCGTGGACAAAGGTCAATTTTTTAGGTTTTTTGAAAATCTCCATTAATCTCATTTGTGCAAAAAGAAACTATTCGGGGTCAAAGGTCAACGTATTTTTCGAAGACGTTTTTTTCTTTAATTTTCACTGAGAATTGCCATTCCTGGGATATAACGGTACATGTCCGCTTTGTGAAAAAATATAAAGGACTATTTGCGGAGAATTTTGAGGTTTACAATTTATGGACGAAGTAATTTCTTAAATAAAACTTACCGTTTGTAACTATTTAAAATTCGAATCAGCCCAATCAACCCAAAAAGTAAATAACAAACCCAATTTATTTTAATTTTTTTATTTCGAAATTCAAATGAAATAATTCGAATTATTTCAATTTCTCAAATTAAAGTTTAAATTTTTCGAATACAATACAATATAACAAATACGAATACAACGCTTCGAATAACATCTGATAAGGGTGGTTCGGTTGGGTCGAACTTTGAATACCCTCCACCATTTGAAAAGAATATGGAAAATTAAAAAAAAAAAAAACATTGGAAATGCTGTTAAAATCATAACAAGTAAAAAAGCTATAAGTTCGGCCGGGCCGAACTTTTAATAGCCTCCACCATTCGGTACAAATTTGGCAATTTTCAAAAAAAATAAAAAAATAAATAAAATCCGTTAAAAATTCTGTTAAAATCTTAAACCGAATGCCTATACGACGACGTGGACCTGCATAGGAAGCTTTTGTCATAAGTTTTTACAATATTTAAATGCGAAACTTGAAGAAAAATCTATTTGTAATGTAGCTAAAATCATCAAAGTAGCGAATATCGGGGGGTACGGTATATGGGGGCTATACGAAGACGTAGACCTACATGGCCCTGTTTTATGCTGCAGTATCTATTACGAACTTCAAATACCAAATTTGGAGCGATTCCGTTAAATAATGTCGCTAAAATCATCAAAATACCGAATATCGGGATACACTGTTATATGGGGGCTATATGAAGACGTGGACCTACATGGCTCATTTTTTAACTTAGGATGTAGTATCCATTACGAACTTAAAATGCCAAATTTGAAACAATTCCGGTGAATAATGTCGCTAAAATCATCAAAATACCGAATATCGGGAGGTACCGTTATATGGGGGCTATATGATAACTTGGACCTACATGGCCCATTTACGAACTTAACCTGCCTACTGGAAAAATAAACATGTGTGCAAAATGTTAGCCTACTATCTCAATTCGTTCGAAAGATAGCCTGATTACAACAGACAGACGGACAGTCAGACCGACATCGCTAAATCGACATAGAATTTTACGCTGATCAAGAATATATATATAATTTGTTGGGTCTGACATGAGTGGGGGGGGGTATAAAAATATAACAAATCGGATGAACAATATACATGGGAGCTATAGCTATATCTGAACCGATTTTGACCAATTTTAACATTTTAACATAATTGTTTCTTGGCTTCCCCTTTGGCTAATATTACACGTGTACAATAAATCGGATGCAGATATATGTGGGTGCTATATTCAAATCTGAAGCGATCTCGACAACATTTTGGGAAAGGTATTTGTATTTGATACATTTTCCCAAATATCATTGTTACAGAGCGCATATATTAAATCGGACGAACAATATATATAGAAGCTATAGCTATATCTGAACCGATGTCGATCAAATTTGGCATATTTATTTCCAGGCTTAATTGGGTCACATATGCAAAGTTCCATACTATTAGGGCTGACATTACAAGTTTGGTGCGAAATAAAAGCAAATCGGACCAAGATATAAATAAAATTTTTGATCAATTATCTCCAATTTAATCCGGTGCAAAATATCATCCGGATCGGACAATAAATGCGACCCGTACTTTGTTTAAAAAAATACATGGAGAGATGGACGGACGGACATGCATAAAACGACTCAGACTCAAAAGGAACTATGGGTTTATCTCATTTTATTTTACCTGTTACAAACAACTGTACAAAGACCTAAACCCTAACCACCTTGTTGTGTAGGGTATAAAAAGAATCCAACTTCGATATGATTTTGATAAAAATATTTCCATGGACCGAATCGGTCGGTCAGCCAACCAAAGAGATGGATATCGCTTGACCGACACCAAATTCTGTGAAATAGGCATCGTCCAAAATAAGATATTGGACTTAAAAGCATTATTAAGGTTGATGATTAAGCAAAGAGTTGAATGATTTTTTTTTTAAGGGTCGAGTTTCGGGTGATATTGAGTGATTAGCTTATAAAAAAGCTAATAGACCAACTTTAAATGAATATGGGAATGCTGATCTAAATGAAGCATATTCTACCTTTAGAATACCAAGTAGTCTCTAAATCATATTCCTACAGAAAACCCAAGGAAAGGAGATCTTTGGGTAGATCATTTTTTAATTTTACAGAGAACTAAAGTAGATTTTTATGAAAGACCAATAGAATTTGAAAGTTTCCTCAGCTTGCAGAACAAAATAAAAAACCAAAGAAGACTTCATTGGTTTCTCATGAAAATCCTGTATCCTCAATTAAAAATACTTAGTTTTTCATTTAGAACTGAACTAATAATGTCCTTAATTAGACCCTTAGCCATATGGCTAGAGAGGGTATATATAATTTGATACGGCCAAACGTGCCTCATCGAAATAACGGTTTTAGACCCTAGGTCTCTTGGGAAAAAATCCGTTTCAGGACATTTGGAGTCGATCTAGCGTTATCCGTCTGTCTGGCTGGTCCACACGATTACTCACGAAGGGTGTATCCGATGTTATCCAAACTTGGTACATCGTAATATTATTATCAAACTTACATCGAGTTCGGAGATGGTCAATATCGGTCCACTTCTTCTGGTACCTCCCCCACAAAAGTACAAAAGTTTTCAAAAAAAAAAAAAAATATATATATATTTTTTACTGCAAAGAAAGAGAAAGGATAATTCGATTGTGCTCCAACTTTACAAATCCTAATAGTTGCATCAGTGCTAGGTCAGGTGCGAAAATGAACAATATCGGTCCATACCATCATACCCACTACGTGTCAAAATGTTGAATAAGTTTATCTCTTATAAAACGTAATGTAAGAGTCAGATTGTCTTCAAATTACACACACCACAATATTATATTAACCCAAGGTCTGGTGTGAAGATGGAATATATCGGTCCACTCCTTCTGGTACCTTCCCCACCAAGGGTCAAAATTTTGAATATTAATGAAGCTTATAAAACGCGAAATTAACGTCCGATTCCATTTCAGACTTGGTACATCTCAATATTTCCATCAACACAAGATCAGTTATAAAGATGGTATAGATGGGACCATTTCTTCCACAAAGGGTCAAAGTTTTGACCAGCAAAACGATTATAAAATCCGAAATAAGCATCCAGTTCTCTTCAAATATCACATGCCAGAATATTTTTATTAACCCAAGGTCTGATGTAAATATGGGATATAGCGGTCCGCTTCTTCTGGTACCTCCCCACAAAGGGTCAAAATTTTGAATATCGATGAAGCTCATAAAATGTGAAATTAAAATACGATACCATTCAAACTTGGTACATCTCAATATTTCCATCAACTCAAGATCTGTTATAAAGATGATAGGGATCGAACTATTTCTCTGGTACGTCCTCCACATAGGGTTCAAGAGTTTGAAACACATAACGCTCAAAGAAAGCTAAATAAGCATCCAACTCTCTTCAAATTTCTCACATACAAACATTTGTGGTAACACAATATGACATATGAAGATGACATATA